GTCCTTCCTCTGTCTGATCCTGGCAGATTCTTTCCCTGAATTGTGCCTGTCCTTTGTTTCTGTCTGTGCAAAGGTCTGACCCTAACAATGTTGCCGGAAGGAAGGAAAGGTTTGCAGAAACCTTTACAAACTTTTTTTCCTTAAACGTCTTCCCAGAGGGCCAATAGGACAGAGTTGGCTCTTCAGATATCCAGTCCAAGGGGGACAATTCAGGAAAGAAATTCAGCTAAAGAGCATCCAGTACTTGATTACTTATTGTTTGTTCCTTACCCCCCTCCACCTCCCGGATTTCATCAGGAACATCTAATGAAATTACAAGTATTTCAGTCTGGAAATAGCATGTTCATGCTGCTGAACTTCAGCAAGGACATGCCCTTTCAGCAACGCACTGCCCTGCGTTTGGCGCATTCCTTGTCAACTTCTGTTATTCAACATTCATTCTACCCCTAGAAACTGATGATACAGGGTAGTGTCCTGAAAACGACCGGGGAGCACCTTTTGGGCAACGATGAGATTCCCTTCTCCTCTCTCCCATATTCCAGGTCTGCCCATCCTGAGCGAGCCCCGCGTCCCGCTCACCCGGGGAGGTGGTAACGGGAGCACCGACCCCTTCGCAGACCCCCGGACTGGACGGGACGGGACGGGACGGGACGGGACGGGATGGGACGGGATGGGACGGGACGGGAGGCCTCCCGCAGAGCTGCCGTGGACGCCCTGTGCGGCCGGAGCGCGGCTCGTCCCGACCACCGCACGCTCCGCTCTCCCCCGCATCGTCCCGCACCGCTGCGCTCCACGGGATGGGGATGAGCGATGCGGGCTCGGCGCACCCATCCCCGCCCAGCCTCGCAGGTGGAGCTGCCGGGAGCTGCGGGGCGCTGGAGGAGCGGGGTCTCCCCGCCCGCTCTCCCACCCCACCTGCGGGGTGCGCCCCGAGCGCTCTCCCTGCCCCGGCGGAGCGGGGGAGAAGGGACGTGATGCGGTTGCGAGGTGGAGGGGGGTGGCTATCGAAGTGATAGAAGGACTGACCTGCCGCGGGGATGGCTGTGGGCAGCAGCAGCAGCTGGTGGAGCAGCAAGGCTGGCAGGAGGTGGGTGGCCCGCATGGTGCTGGCGGCCCCACCTGCGGCTGGCGGGGAGGAGAAAGGGAGATGGTTCCTCGGAGGGACCCCGTGCACCGCCGGTCACTAGAGGAGGCAGAGTGAGCCGAGCTTTTTATTGCGATGATCTAAGTTTGTTGTGTGATTAACTGGAAAGATCTGGGTCCCAACTCCCTCTTACGGTAAGAAACTGTTTAACAACATCCCCTCTCTGTCTCTTCTCCTCCTCCCCTCCTCAGGAGCTGCCTCCCCTCCCTCCCGCCCCTCAACCAGCCCAGGGAGAGGGTTTCCACCGGCTCATCCCTCCCTTCATCTTTCCCTCCCTCCTCCCCGCCCCCCTCCCTTCATCCCTTAGAGGCTCGGGAGGAGCAACCGGGCCGGGTCCCTCTGCTCTTACCCCGGGGCTGGTGTCTCCCGCTGCACAGTTCCCTGGAGCACCTCCCAGCCCTTCCTGGCCTCACAACCCCCACTGCCATCTCTCCTGTAGCCAGAACAAACCTCTCCTTCAACGCAGACGTTTCCCTTCGCTATATCCCACTTTCTCCACCTGCCCCTTGGCCTCATGCCTAGGCAGCACCTTCATCCACAGCTGTTTCCGTGGGACTCTCTCAGCCCATGGCCAATTTCTCTGTAAGGAAACACCTTTCCTCCGACCAACCCATTCTTGTCTCTGGCCGCCAGCCTGGCCTTTCCATCACCCTCTTTGGCCATCTGACAAATGCCACTTCCTCAAAATTGTGGCAACTCTGGGGAATTTAAAGGTCAAGTATCAGCTGCTGGCATCACTCCATGGAGACAAGCTTCGGTCCAAAGTAATGTCTGACCTTCCTTCTGTCGCAGGCAAATTCTTCTCCTGCACTTCATTTTAACCTCATGGAAGCAATGACATTGGTTTCTGTTTAAAGTCATGAGACCGGCCTCCATGACATGCAAGTGTTCGAAAATAAACACTTGAGGAGAAGTTTTGCCTTAATTTAAACTGTTCCTTTCTCCCATGCACCCACCTACCATCTACAGCACAAGTGTGTGACAACAGAGGAAACTGCTTCCCTCCATTTTCCACAAATAAATCAGAGACCTGCATGTGGCCTCATGCCACGTGAGTCAGAAAAATGCAACTCCTTGTCCAGCCCAGACTCCTTTGCTCATAATGTTGATAAACACCTTGGAGTGAAACGGTTTTTCTTAAAAACCAGGTTGTTTCCCAAACCACAAATAACTTTTAATCAAATATTCCCAAATATATATATATATTTGTATGTGTTCAGTGGCAAAACCTAAAATTTCCACTTGGGAATTACTGCCTTGCTAAGTGAAAGTAAGGGGATAAAAGGGAGTTTAGAGATAGTCTGTGAAGGAAATATTTTGAACATTTGGCATTACAGGAAAAACATATTTATGTGAAAAAAAAAAACTTTCTGTTGCAGAATGAGCACTATTTCTAGAGGGTTTAGTTGATTTTTTGTTTTGTTTTGTTTTGTTGTTGTCCTTGTTTTTCTCACAAGCATAAAAGTTACAGGAATTTTTTAGAGATGTACAGCCTGAGAAACAGAGAACGTGTATTCCACTGGCCAACGATCTGATCTTGTGTACAATCCTTGTCCACTGCAACTGATAGAATATGGATATCTTGGGGTTTGTTTTCCGGTTTTCTCTGTGTCAAAGATAGACATAAGTATAAACAAAAAGCAACACAAAATAATCGTAGCATGATGCTGAGCCTGAAATAGCCACATTCTGTTAACCAGATGTATTTGACTTGTTGTCCGTGCATGTGTTGAGTGACCTTTTTTGTGGAACACAAAATCATGCACCATTAAAGTCAAGTAGATTTTTTTTTTTTTTTACCACTGACTTCCCTGAGGGGAATATTTGGCCTGTAGTCAGATTTCTCCTGAATTTTAGGAAGGTTTGTTGCTGTGTCTCTTGAGGACTAGGGTGCTCCTTAACGGAGAAACTATTTTGCTACGTGGATTTCTATTATTAATACATAGTTCTGTGGATTATTCATAATGCTTCTCAATTCTGCATGAGAGTTCAAGTCATGTTCATAAGCTTCTTTGGCTGCATCTATTATGCTGGGCAGGTACAACTCCATAATCCTGGTTCTCCATTTGTTCAGTTTTGGGGAGCTGCTGGAGGACAACTCTGCCTTTTTCATAAACCCTGTATGTCTCCCCTCAGTGGAAACCAGGTCACATTGAGTAGAGGGACGGGGACAGAAGGCACATTAGAAAGAGAAAGATCATGTAGAGGCTATGTTCAGATGTTCTGTTTATAGGCAGTCAAGACAAAGATTTGCATCTGGATCTGTGAAATGAAAATGCTCTTTGGTTCTGCTTCGTATACTGCAAAATGTAGTAGGATTCTTTTTCTATGTTTTCTTGCCCCATGTATTTTACAAAGAAACTTACTATTTTAGTTCAGTTCAATCAAATTTTACCTTGAAATGAATTTCAGTATGAAGGAAGGTTACAAAAATTACATTTCATGCTTAAGTTTTCAGAAAGAATTCCACGTTAAGTTTCAAAGTCAACACAGAGTAACTGAAGACCTTAATATGATAATCATAAGTAGTAGGTTTTACGCAAGAGTATTCTGTTATGTTTTCTGACTTTTTGAGGGCATGTTTTCTGGCCTATAAATCTCTCTCTTTTTCTGGTTTTGGGGCTTAGCTGAGAGTGGGGAATTTGGGGTTGTTTTTGTTTGTTTGTTTGTTTGTTGTTGTTCTTGTTTTAGTTGTGTTTGTTTGTTTTGGGAATTGTTTGTTTTGGTTTTGGTTTGAGGGTTTTTTCTATTTTTTTGGCAGCTTTGCAAACTTCCTCTGATAACCTGACCTTCAAATCAGTGTAGCTCTGTATTAAGAAAGTAGCATAACATTTCTGTAGGACTTATCTAAAAAGAAAAGAGTTACTGCAAACTTTACCAAAGATGTGTTTTCTCTGGACTGCCTACATGGCAAAAAAGATTGAAAAACTTTATTTTGGTTGGAAAAGTAAGCAGACATGACCAAATATGTACAAACTGCTATTTTTATATTCTCTTTTCTGACCATAACCACAGTTAGATCTGTTTTTCAGATCTATTCAGAAATGCTAGATATTCACAGTTTGGGCAGGGATCTTTACATGTATACTGAGTAATACTAAGTAACAATTACATTTAAAGAAAGATTTTCTAAATGAAACAGCATCTGTCATATAAATCACCTCTTTTGCTCAAAAGAAACCTTTTTACTTCTTGATTTATCTGGTATAGGTATCAGTCTGTAGAAGTCCTACTGGATAATAAGACAAAACAAGCAAGTACTTGCAGTAATTATTGTTTAACACAGTGTTGATCGATAAAAATGTCTCAGACTGCTGGAGTAGTTTAAACCAAGCAGTTGTGCTTCATATTTCAAGCAGGGTACAATTTTATTGTCTTTTTTTAACAAACTGATCTTTAGTCTAGAAGGGAAAAGACTGAGGTATATACTGCAAGATTTAACACTGCTGGGAAAGGCAGAGCTTAGGCAAAGCTACAGCACATAGCAGGTGCCAATACCTGCTGAGGTACCTCAGCCAGAACCCCAGCTCTGAGGACATGTGGTACTTTCCAAACTAATCCCCACACCTTCTTCATGCAGAAATAAAAAGGGAAATAAGGTATAAAAGCTGAGAGGAAGAAGGGGATAACAAGATCCATGCGCAGCAATTAATGTCCATTGGAAAAGGGAGGCTCAGGAACTTTATAGGTTACTCTTTTAGATTCAACCAAAAGGACTTAGAGTGTGTCATCATACTAAATGTTGCAGATCTGAACTGGAGTCCCAGAGGGCAGATTCACCACACCAGTCAAGTGCAGGGAAATGGGAGAGTGGCACCTCAGATGAGGCTCCTTGTTGATCACCCACCAGGAAAACCCAAGAATGAAGACAAGCCATGCCTCGCTCTGCACTGTGGGCGCTAACCTGCAGACATGAAGCAGACACCAAATGTAGCATTCACAGGTAACATTCCAAGTGTATTTGCTAAACAAAACTGTCTAGCTTTAAAACACCTCACAGTCCTTCGACCCAAAATGAATAACAAAACAATTTTTAACTTCTAGTATGAAAGCCATTGAAGTCATTTGTGGAATGGTATCCAATGGCAGCAGATGATAATACAGCTCTTCAAGACCAGTTCAGAAATTATTATTTCTAATGGTTTGGAACCAAAAAAAACCCCACAAACTAAAACACAAAACAAAATAAAAAATCCCCAAGCAACAACAAAAACTCTCACACACAAACAAAGCAAAAATCTATATGCAGCACATTGTTATTAGTAGGAAATATCTGCTCAAATTTTATCTGATCAAAATTTATACACTTCCACACCCAAATGCTTCATCTACAAGATCAGTTTTGCAAACAAATGTGCATGCAAAATGATTATTTTCGTATAAATTTGCAGCAATGACCATTTGAAGTTTTGGGGAATGTGTTGCATTGTCTCTATGCACTTTTAGAAACACAAAAAATCCCTCACTCAGGAGAATTTTATTCCTTGAATGTACTCTGAATTTAGGTATATTGACTGAACATGTTAAACTCTGTGTATATATTTGTTTCTTTCCTCTTCTGTTAGTCTCTGCAGTGCCAAGAAAGTCTGCAAAGAATAAACATCATTGATAATACTGGTAAGGAGATTCTAATGTACTTTGTATTACTCAAGACCGAATTCAATCTGCAAAAGCTTTATAATATCTTTTTTTTTTTTTTTTTAATGCAACAATGGAAGAAAAAATGAACCTCTCTTTGACCTTGGTCTACTAGAATTAATTAGTGGTCCTGGCTTTTGGAAAAAAACCAGAAGCTGAATACATTTGATATGAAGCAATGGCTCCAGAAGCCCTTAATTTACACGCCACATTTAAGTGTTCCTTCTCTGAGGATAGTTAGTCTCTATACTATTTAACCATTCAAATATGCATCAATTTGTGCTTCTCCATAAGTGTATAATTTTTAGCAAATAAAGAGCCATTTTTTTCATGTTTATTAAAAGATATATCCTCTAGGACAAGTAGTCTAAAAATCAAAGCTTTGACCAAATTCATCTGTGGTAATCACTCAATCTTCAGATCTCCCTTTTTTAAGCTGCTGATTTTTTTTTTTTCTTTTTGTTCAGAAAGTCTTCATTCCTTTGAATATTTAGGTAAAATACAAATTTTAACTGTGATCAAGGAAATGTACATTTGTGTATGTACTTTTAAATATATTTAAACTTCTTCATTGTTGAAAAGCTTGAAAATATCAACCCAAAATATTCAACCACTAAGAAAATCTCCAAATTGCATTATCCTTAGAATTATCTGGCTTTTAAAGCAGTTTAATGATTTTAGTTTCTGAGATAAGGTGTGTATATATGTCATTTGGACCATACAGTAATGTTTACTCTGAAACTTTTATATGTACAGATAATTCACCCTTTTATCTGTATTTTCTAAGAAAGAGAAAACCAAGAGGGTACTTAAGCAAAACCACTGATCATCCCTAGCTGAATATTTTTTTCATTTAACTGGCTAAATGGTAAAATTGAGGGTAGTTTTTCAAAGATCTTTTTATATATTAAATCCCAAACTGGAGAATAATTTTTTGATTTCCTAGAGCATTTTTTATTTTCAATAACTGCTCTTATTTAAAAAATATAATAAACTTTTGATAGATTTCAAATCATGACACAATTTTTGACTTTGAAATTAAAAAATATATCATTTACAAGAAAAAATTCCAAACTAACTAAAAAGATTTCCATGAAAATTCTGACAAAAGTAATGCAGAGATGTTAATGCAAGCCCACGTATTAGTTTGTTCAACTTACTTTTAGGTTGGAAAAGCTTAAAACAGGTTTTCTATAGTATATGTGTGGTATATAGAAGAGGTAAAATGGTTGGTAGACAGCAAAGGGTCTTTATCTTCCAATATGATACTTCCATAAGGGAAACATTATTGTTAGGTATGCTGAGAAAACATTACCAAAATTGAGGCTGAGACCATCTACCAAAAAAAAAAAGAAAAAGTAACACACAATGGTTTATTAAAAATGAGATATAATTATGAAGATAATATTAATATGTTACATATTAGTATAAATTTTAAAAAATATTTTCAATATATTTCAATATATTTAGACTACCAAAGAATATAATTAAACTGGTGGACTTTGATTATGGATTATATGTTATGGAATACCTTCAGCATTTTAAAAATCCAGAGACAAAAGCATTAGCTCTTTGAATCCCAGAGACTGAAGACTTCCAGAACTTGCTGTCAAGAGTAAATTCTCTAGGATTTCATATCAAAGAGGAGAATTTCTACCTAGGGTGCTGTTAAAGATTTTAAGAAAACCTAAATGGGAATTCATCAGTTTTCTAGCAATCACTCAGCCATGAGGACATATTAATAGCAGCTCAGAGAAAACAAAAACAACAAAAAAGAGCTCACAATTCAGGGCCATAAAGTACTGATCTTTCCTGCTTTAAGGTTTGTAATCCCAGAGACAAACAGCTTGCCAAGTTATCAGAAAAGATGTTATCAGAGGAGGAATCTCAGCTTGAATTCTTTTGAAGAAGAATCTTTGGGTACTTTATTTGAATCAAAGTCTCCTTGTTTGGGCTATGAGCTTTGTAATACAGCTACTGGAAAATAGTCAAATTGGGAAAGGGGACGTGTGGCTGCAGAATCAAGACAGGAACTCTCAAAGGAAGAGTAGGGCAAACCTATATTTCTTTGCTGTGTCATTTCTTTATATCCTAAAGAAAAACCTTTTTTTCAGCACAACTTTCTCTCTTAAGGTCTGACCACAGGTAATACTGGCACTGAAATGATGCTGATAACAGTGTAATTGCTCTACATTTGATGTGCCAATAAAGCATATGCACTTTTCCATGCTATTTTTAGTATTCTATACCTCAACATGATGATATCTATTTTTAAAAAGTACTCAATCCCCGCTTTTCATAGAGATTAACTGTTGCCAAGCTTTTTTGTTATAGGTGAAATTTGAGCGTGGATGATTAGGTTTCACTGCACATTAAACAGTGACAGAGTATATTCTTGCCTTAGCACACACTATTGCTGAGGATTTTGTAACCAATTTCTGCAGCAAAGATGAGATTGAAGACCAATTTGGAGGTCTAAGGGCTGATTTCTAAAACTGTCTGTAGCTTTGCTCAACTTTCATGGAGTTTTGATCCTATTCTTGAAATCAAAAATTAAACTTGGTAATTAAAGAATAAGTTTTTGAATTTGGAACACTACTGCTAAGCCTATTTCAATATTTTTTATTACTTTATTAAATAAGATTTTCTTATGAATAAAATTGGATTGATATTAAGTCAACATTAAGTCAAGAATGTACTCACAATAGTAGGATAGAAAAAAACTATGAAAAAGTTTTGTTTTGATTTTTCTTTATTCTTTTTTTCTGCTGAATAGCAGTTCTGGTCTACCTTACACTAAAAGACATAATTTCTGACCTTTTTTTTATTATTAGAATGCTTTTTCTTTTTAAGTCTTTCCTATACTAGTGGTATACAGATTAATACTCACTGTACATCTACTTCCCAGATCAGTAATCCTGGATTTTAATCAAAGAATCTCCAGATTAGGTTCAAGGACAAGTCCACATGGACGAGAAATTCTATCTGACAGTAATCAATGAGAGTTGTCTAGGGAAAAGTATAGAAACAGAGTAAATTTGCAGTGATATTTCCTTAGAATGTTTTGCAACCTGCTAATGTTTTATGGTCACCCAACTTTTGGTGCTATAAAATTAATTATCCTCCTAGTGATTCATGACTTTTTTTCTCTCTCTATGCAACCTACCAAAGTTCCCATGTAAACAACTAAACAAAAATATGGGATAAATCACCAGGGCAAAGAATTTTCAAATATACAATTTTGTGAGTTGCTTTTTACTTCTGGTACAAAATATTTCACATATAAAACACTGACAAGTAATAGCTTTTTTCATATACTATGGAACAGTGGTAATAGTGTTAAAACCTAATTACTTTTCCTTAAGAAGAAAAAAACCCAAACCCAAACTGACCCTCAATAACTCTATTCTCCTTTACTTGATTTTCATTTAAACTCTTTAAAAAAAACTACTTTTGATAAGGAAGTAAAATCACCAATACAGAAAATATGTAGATTTACATGCCACATATTTTATTAGCTATTTTTTTACCATTTCAGTGTATTTCATCATTTATTCCCAGTAGATAAACCAATGTGGTTTCAATTCATATATTAAGGAGCAAAGGAAACAGTCTTTCTTTTTGCCTGAAATTATTCTATGCACATGTCCTTCAGCTATGGAAACACTTCAAATAACCCATTGATAATGCACATTGAGCACCCACAGGAAATACAGGGCTGTGTCACTCAGCTTCAGATGAACAACATTCAAACTATTTTTCTTATAGCTTCTTTGGGAAAAAGAAAAAAAAAAAAACTTAAATCTGGTATTTGTTTCCCAAGAAAATATTGAAAATAATCTGGTTTTTATGACATGAATATTTGATATAGTCCCATTGAAAGGACTGGTGTAGAAAGCTGGCTCTGTATCTGGAAATAATCTTCAAATTTTTAATAGGAGGCATAGTTAACCAAAATGCTGAATGCTGTATATCACATTTTTAAAAAACTTTGAATGCTAATTAGTCTTGTAAACAACTTATATGTCTCACTGGCAGCAGCAATGAAACATATACTTTTCTTTTTTTTTTTTCCTTTCTTTTTATTTTTTTTTATCTTTCTCTTCTCTCTCTCTCTTTCATCCCCTTTTTTCTATCTCTCACTTCATCTTCCTCTATATTTCTCTATCTCTTTCTTCCTCTCTTTTTATCCTTTTCTCTTCATCAGCATCTTCCTTTATCTTTCTCTCTGACTTTCTGTTATCTTTTGCCTTTTTCTCTCTTTTAAAAGTTGTATTAAAGCTCCACAGTCTTCCCGTGTCTTGTCAATTAAAAAATATGGTTATGTGGGCTAAGATTTATAAATTCAATTTTGGTCTTTGAAACAAACACTAGAAGAAAAGTTTACAAGAAAAGTTAACTTAGTGTCATGACTCTGAGGGCAAAATGCAGCTGCTACAATTCCAGATAGTGGGCATTTTAGGTGGCATACTGAGGTGTGCTAACTGCCATCCTGCCCACAGTCTTCTTTCCTGACTTTGCTGATACCAGGATGACTGCCTTACAATAAAACCAAAGATACCTCTCTGCAATAGATTTTCAAAGAAGCTTTTTAAGGAGGTAGAAGAACAGTAACAGCTTGGAATGGCTCTACCACATCAGTGTATCCATCTAATACAGATAAAGTGTCAGCACTATAAACAGCAGCCCGTCAGAAGATGGAGATTAACAGCAGAGATCAGCTTTTATACTGATCACAAAGATCACATCTGAATAGCATAAACTAGTTGTTGTTCTGTGTGACACATTTAAAGAGATAATAAAACATGCTCACAAATTTACTTATCTCCCATTTATATCTATGGGACTACTCATGTTTTTGGATGTGTTCAAAAGAACTTTCTTGGCTTTAGGCATATGGGACTATTTTTATGAAAAAGGAGAGGATACTTCAAAGCATGTTGACTCAAAAATAACTCAAAAACTATTGATAAAAAACTCATTAAGCTTTATTCTGAGTCAAAACACAATAAAATTGTTAAAATATAAATATCTGCCTTGAAAAATCCAGTCTGAATGAACAGCTAGCTGTTGAGAATGTCAGGACAGAAAAACGCACATTCAAGCTGAGAATCATAGGTTATGTGGCCAGCAAAAATTCTAGTGAAGTAACAACCACGGTGAAATGAGTATTCAATCAAATATGCCATAACTGAAACAGGAAGGAAACTCATTTTTCAGTGGTGCATCACACTGTTTAAACCAAGACTTGATGAACATCAAGACAATGACAAAAGCTACTTAGTAGTTAAAAATCTCTGCAGACAAGCAGGTTGAAGAACAGCAACTGTAATGAAGGGATGAAGCAGTTTGTTTATTCATTTTTAAAATAGGTAATAGAGCACAAATGTTCTGTTTTATATAGAAGAGTCACTGCATCATATCCAAATTTATGAAATTGGTGAGAAAAAAAGTATAGTTACAATAGGCTGTAAAAAAGTGTTCCAGTTAGCATGACTAAATAATAAATGCAGATGTACCATCTGTGTTTGGAATGGAAGGTTGCCTACCCACAACTACATTTTAAAAGACGTTTTTATGTATACACCAGGTAACCAGAAGGAACATAAGAACACTTCCAGATATTCTAGAGTCCAGGCAGCCTATAAAAATACTACTAGAAGAGAGACAAATCATTACACCTATGATTCTATCATAAGTAGACGGGAAAACATGTATTTCTGCTTGTCACATTGTATTTCTGCCATGTTATACCCCATATTTCCCACATATTTCTGCCTTGTAGACCTTCAGCCTCACCCAGGTTCCTGGGTGCATGTCTCCTTCTGAGAATACACCTGTTTGTCCCTGAGGTATCTGTCACATCCCACAGGAACCAGCTGTGCTGGTGGGTTCACTGGTGGACTGTGCAATGTACACATACCATTTTGCCAGCTAACATGGTATACACATACTGGCTGGTCACAAGTAAACTTAAGAGAATACATAATGGCTCCACACTAAAGGATCCTTCTCAAAGGAAAACATTTACATGGGTCTCTTGTACCCAGCTACTAATTTTTGGTTCTATTAATTTCTCTAATGCTATATATCCAGGAGTTTGGCATTTAATCCTGAGGTGATCTCTTAGGTTTTATTGTGGCCTTTTTAGAAAGAAACAAGCATTTGGGTTCACAATAGATTGGATAGCATAAACTTTCAGGGTAACTTTCAATTTGCCCTTAAAATATTCTGGAAGTATTTATTTCCTCTCAGTCAAATGCTCACCTTTCTGAGCATCCTCAGCTTAACTTCTCTTAGCTGAAATTTGCTCATTGATTTTGATTTCAGGAAGATAAGTAATAGGAAAAAATGCTAAGGAAGTATACCCCACAAGGCAAGACAAAAACTAGGTAAAGGGAAGAAATTATGTTGCTTTAGTGCACCAGAAGTGTTCTGATGAATCAGAAAACCATCCTAAAACCAGTGGACACACATGAAAATTCCATTTTCATATGTTTATGATGTAATACAGAATCAGTAGGAATTTGCAGAAAATTTACTGTGGACTTTGGGTTGAATTATGGCTTAGTACAGCACTCAAGATTGAGTCCAGCCTGCAACTCAGCAAGCTAAAATTAAGATTTAAATCCTAAATTGTCAATAATAATTTTGGGGAAAATGAACTGATAACTCACATTTCCTGAGTGTCCTTCTATGCACACCACAGCAAAAGAAAAGGACCATAACTGCACTATTTCAATATTTGTTTTAAATATCTGTTTTTTCATCTAAGGGTTCCAATTTCCTGACACTGTAAAGAAACCCTTAATCAAGAATTAAACTCTGGAGAAAAATATGGATTAACACCCATACTTAAGCCTTTCTGGTTCTCCGCTTGATTTAGCATCTAGGTTCATTATATCTTTATTTGCACATGCACATCAAAATTGCACCTGTCTGTTTCTATAACTAGAAACAAGAGAAATACAGCATTCTGGATTTGGATTTGAGCTAACTACACTTTCTGAAGGGAGGTTAAGGCTGTTAGGCACAGCACCATGCTAACACGCTCATCTTTCCTCAGGAGAAAAAGGCACATAACGTCCTCTGTTATGTACCAGAGTGGCCACAGGCAGCTAAGGGAATATTTACAACTTGGAATATGATGCAACTTTTAAATTTGTCTAAATAGCTCAAACATCTAGCTCTGGGTTGTAGATTTCTCTTAGAGGACTAGTTCCCTAGTTTAAAAACAAAAAACCAGTCCTTCCTTTTACATTCTTTGTTGAGTTTATCACAGCTGATTGACAACAGACGTATATGAAGCTCCAGAAAGAGAATGATAAAATTTATTGGGAGATTTGAAGCATTTATATAATTAATCGAAAATTTAATTTTGATTGCATTAAACGCCCAGAACACAATCAATAAAGAGGTTGTATCTGTTGCTAATATACATACATAGAACTTACATTAAACTAGTTAAAGAATCTTGAGCATTATTCAAAAATGACTGAGAATTTTTAGATCATATATTTTAAAATCAGAATACAATCACAAAAAAATTATGAAAGCTTATTCTGTTTTTAAGGAGCTCTGAGATTACAAAACGAACTGAACTTTCTGACAGATATCAGAGTTTAAAATTACATTTTCCATTTTGAAGGCACTTTAAGTTAAAATCAGAATTAATGTGTAACATAGAGAACTATAAAATAGAATAGAATTAAAATAAAATAGACCATTTTAATTGCTGCACTTCAGTAGATTTTTAATATTGCATACCCAAAATATCATATTTTGACTTTTCATTAGACAGAAAAAAAAAGTAAAAATAATGAAAATAATTCATATGATGATAAAAAGTAATTTCCTGTGTAGTTATGTTTCTGATTAGATAGGTCATGAATCAAGAACTCAAGAGGTCAATGAAACCAGTGCTCTAGTCATGAGGACAACACGCCAAACCTATAAATGAATCCACAACTGCACATTACCTAATTTTTATGTATGTATTATCTCTCTGATAATTCTGTGGTTTGTGTTGTTAATGTAGGAATCCATATGGGAACATGTGAACAAAATATGTAAATCTGGATGTGCATTATGTCCATGAATAAATTCCCTAATATCCTTTGCTTGATTTACTGGTTCCAATGATTCTTACTCATAATAACCAGAAGGTGTTGTGAGGCTCTGTTCATTCATTAAAAGCATGAAATCTGCTGTGACAGCTTTGCATGAGCAGTTCTAGAAGTCTATAACTAAAAAGAAATTATGTGCTCATAGGATTAGAACCCATACAGGAAAAGGGTATTTCTTCCTTCTGTTTGCATAATCCTGTTTTACAGACTTAAACCATAATTCATTAAACTGGGACCTTCCTTGTTCACATTTTAAAATATTAAAATTGTTATAGCTTCTTGCACTGATATTAGAGCTGACAGTCATCATCTTCATTTATTCTTCAATTAAATTGTCAATTCTATTGATAATAATACAATAGAAGACACAAGTAATACATTGTTACTTCCTAAGAGATGGATTTTCTCTCAGAATATTTATCTTATTTTGTTAAGATTAAAACGTATTTCTCACTTGCCTTTTGTTTTCCTCATATTACTTTATAAGTTTTGGGTTTAGGACTTTTTGTTTTGTTGTGTTTTAAGAACTTTCTGTGGAGAAAAAAAAAAGAAAAAAAGAAAACTAGGATTCAAAATAAACACTTCTCAGCTGAACCACCCTCAGCAGACCAGCAAACTCTTTCCTTTAAACATTCAGATATATGACTGTACATGAAAATCAGATGGGCATGAGGAAATGATTCCATTTGCCAAGTGCAGTTTTGATCCACATGGCAAACAGCTGCTGCTCAGATGAGCAATATTCTGAGAAGCTAATTTGTTACATCCAAACAGAAGGTCTTGCAGTCAAAGGTAAATACATCACAGCACCTTGCAGTTCTTATTTGCTCTCATCACTACCCATAAAGCATAGTCTCTCATGACATGTTCTTTTTTTCTCTTAGAATAACCTGCAAGGCAGGCAGGAACAAATACACAACACAGTGTGTTTGCCACTGCTGAGATAGGCAGTTAATAGGAACACAATTCCTCACAGTCATAGCAAATTACCACAGACATTTTCAGCAACTGTGATATTCCTGAGCTCACCAGAGGGCCACTCCAGAAAGATTTATTTTGGTTTATGGTGTTATCGCTGTCAATCAGTGCTAACCTGGTTTTGCCTCAGTGTATCTCAGATAAAACCTGCCAATTGATTGTGTTATGAACAGTTGCAAGGGATGTTAAAAATCCCACCTTGAACAACTTAGAGAACATATGTGAATTGATGTCCATGCTGTTTCACTACCTGCAGCTTTTGCAGCAAATTCTGAATTGCTTTGAGTCTACAGTGATGTTTACAAATTTCTTAAAGAGTTCTTCCTTTCTGTGGGAGAGCCATGTCATATTTCTTGCCCTCCACAAAGCTGCCTTGTGGAGGGCCTATCAAGACACGTCCAGCATCATGTTAATTTGTGGAGAGTCCTGAGGCAGGAGGCTTGGAGTTCCACATTGAGACACCTTCCAGACATAACCATGAACCCAAGCCAATGAGCTGCATGTCTTGTCTCAGTCCTTAGGTCTTGAGTGTCCTCAACAACACAGATTTATGCCATGTCTTACTCATGTAACTTATCTAAGCATATATTGGGAGAGATCTTTCACAGAGATTTGATTCCCATAGGAACGGATCGTCAGGAACATGGTTTGAAAACAGCAACTGGTTTGATTTGTATGTCTTTCTGTTAATTTGTCTTGTGATAATATTAGTTTGATGTACTATTTTTCTCATAAACTTAAGATCACTTAAGAGTTCAGATCTTTCATTGTAAAATTCAATAATGGCACATTCTTTTTTTTTCCACAGATGTACTGTCAGTTTATGAATTAAAGAAGTCACAGACTGGGTGAAAAAGTAATAGGATATTTACAACCAAATTGGCTCTGGAATAAATACATAAAAACTAAAGGAGGAAGAAAAAAGCAAGAATGAAGCCAGAAGGTCAATTGGAAGGTTTACCAGTTCTAGTTTGAGCAAGACAATATTTGAGAAGATGGCTCCTATATAGATACCTACATAGTTAGGTCAGTAATTATTTCAGTTCATTTTCTTTTTGGTATTTTTTATGAAAAAATGCAAGGTTAGAAAATTAATTATAAGTTAGAAAGGTTAGAAAATAATTATATTTAATTTTCATGTACACATTTGTCAAGAATATTTAAAAGTCAAGTTAGATGCCTATTTAGTTTTACTTATAGATCTAACTTCATGAATTGTTTGAATATATTCCTTTGCCTCTCACACTTCAATCAGGTATAAATCTGAAGAGTTTTAACCTTACATGCAATAACATTTTATGAGGGTTTAAATTTTAAAGTGTTTGTAATTTTTGTTGGCTGTGAGAGAATATTGTTCCATGTCTTTTCCTGTTAAACTTTTGCAATTATATTGTTTCTTTCAGCCTTTTCTTCTTGATTGGAATTACAAAACCCATACTCTCAAGAATATTGAAAAAAAAAACCCCATAGCATTAATTTTAAATACCTAGCATATAACACATATTTTGAATAGTCCGTTTGCAGTAGTGCTCTTATTTAGAGAGGATTTTCAATCTCTTTTATAATTACTATTTCAGCCTCAAAAATTTTGTTAGTTCTTCTGGTTACAACTCTTTAAAGGAAGAAACTATTTCAAAGAGATTATGAGACTGCAAATTATCAGTTTTGCAGAATCAGAGTCACACGTAAGGATTGAGGTTGAAAGGGAACTCTGTAGGTCATCTGGTTGAACCCACCTGTTCCACCAGATTCTCCACAACTATGTCCAGAGGACTTTTGAATATCTCCAAGGATGGTGATTCTATGACCTGTCTGTGTAACCTGTGCCAGTGTTCAGTAACCATGACAATAAAAAAGTGTTCTCTTAAGTTCAGACCTAACCTGCCTTGCTTCTGTTTGTATCTTTGCCTCTTTTTCTGTCACTGGGCAGAACTGAAAAGAGCCTGGCTCTATCTTCTTGTTTGTATATATATAGATTGATAATATCTTTCCTGAGCCTTCCATTGGTAATGGAGTCTTACACATCCAGCTCATAAACAGACATTTGTATCACAGGCAACTAAATTTAGGTACCTAAAGCTTAAGTTGAGTTTCTTTGTAAACATCAATATTTCATTATAAAAACTGCTTGCAAAAATGTGCTTTAGTGAACATTATACAATAAACACATTATAGTATTAAAAAAAATCAAAAGTTATTCTTACAAAGATTTCATCCCTTTCAAATACATGCTATACAAATATTTTAGAAATAAACACAATATTCTTTGTCCATTTTTCTGTGAAATGGAGGGCAAAACTCTCAGGGAAAATACAACTAACAGTTCATTAAACTAGATGCTGCCCAAACAGTGAAAGACTTGCTTCCTTCAGCTCAGTTAGCATCCATTCCATGACAAGTACAAATCATTTTCCCTTCTTCCCTTAGCTCCTGGTTTGCAGACAATAACACCTAGGATATTGGATCAGATCAGTGCAACTGTTCAGCGTTGCTCCCTATTGTGAATTACCTGGAATCAAGATTTTGACTCACATTGCATTCACTCCTGCAGTTCAGTTTAGACACAACCTGTGAGACTGCTATAACCACCCGCTGAAACCTGCCAATACTGTAAAGAGGAGGAATGAAGAAATGAGATATAAGTGCCACTCATCAACACATAGTGCAGAAAAGCTGGGTTAGCTCATGATAGGACACTATGCCTATTAAAAGTAAGTTTAATACATTTTTTTTTAAGAACAACAGGAAGTAGAAAGTAAAACTGAAATGCAGAATGTTGCTCTCAGATTTATATTATCAGTGTTGGGGCTAATCAGATGTTGAACTACTCAGCTGCACACTGCCTCACAGTTGGGCCTGTAAGAAAGGTTTTAGCTTTGAATAACAGGAATTTTTGTTGTAAAGTTTTTCAATCCTTCTAGGTATATATGCTCCTTTGTAGTTTCCAGCTTGGGGTCAGTGACTCCAAATCACATCGTATTTTATCAGTTTTCTGTTACTAATAGGTGCTCTATCAGCAGATTAATCTCTTTGTCCTTTACCTATACAAAAGGACTGAGTTCTTTCAAGCAATGTTTGTAAGGCATAAAGTACCTGATTTTTCTCTGCTTCTGTATTTATGACTGTTCAACTGTGTGATATTTCTCTGTTATGAGATCCACATGTAAGTCTGGGCACATTTTACTGATGAATTTAATTTTATTCCAAGCACTCCAGTCCTCTTAAACAATGTTTGCATTTAACCTGCTTCAAGTTCTCCTAACACTACCTCAGCAGCCTCCCTTCTGTGCAGATACTCAGATCTCTGGATAGATATCTGCTATGTTCCAGGTACGTCGTCAATGCAACCAATTCAAGAACTGGGACTTCTGGTAGTTATGAAGTATAATGTGACACCCCGTTTAAGTACACCAAACATGCTAATATTAACAAGCTCTGTGGAAACTTCTACTTTTTATTCTTTAGACACTTAGAAATACTGAACAACATTGGTTCCAAAGAATTGCAGTGCCTCTACACTGACAGTTATCTTTATCACAATCTATTGTTATCTTACTCTCACAAATTCATAATTTTTTTTGTAGTAAAATTAATAGTTTCCTATGTGACATAATATCAAATGCTCTTTGGATATGTGCACTGTCTAGAAAACAGTAATATCAAAAATTTCCTGTTGGCAAGCCATGATTAACTTTGATAAGCTCATTGTGCATTATGTCATTTTCTGTTTATTGTGAAATCTTCAATTACACTTAGTCCAGGTGTTCCATATTACAAAGGTTAAACAGTTGTTCCTCAGCCACCCAAGACTTCATTTTTCTTCTTTTAAATACAAATTCTGTATTGTATAGCTTCTAGCTATGAAGAACAATCTTCAACTTGACAAATTCTTTATTATTTCTTGCTACATTCTGTAAGTCAATTTTCTTGAAGGTCTGAAATGATGCTTACCAGCTTTCCCAAAGTCAGTCTGTCACTTCACAACACATAAACGCAGGCACCACCCAAAGTCCTTCTACTTATCAATGGAGAGAAGGAGTTTTCAGACACGCATTTAATTCTTAGTTTGAACTGCAATTTATAGAGACTTTTTTTCCCATTTATTTTAAAGGAGCATGGGAAAACTAGGCTTTGGATTGCTGTGCTTAACTCAACACTGCGGAAACTGCCAGGGTCCTGAGTGGACTCCAGGGACCCAAATGCCCGTCCCTGCCCCCAGGGCTCCCCCTGCCCTTGCCACAGTGCAGGACCCCATTCCAGCCCCCTGTGCCATCAGTCCCTGCCCTAGAGAGGCAATAAGACATGTCTCCAGCCCTGCCACGGCTGGCTGCTGAGCTGGGCCACCCCACTGGCTGATGGCCCAGCCTGGCCTCACCCCAGCTCTGTCCCCACAGCCCTGCTGGGCCATCCAGGACAGGGACAGACCCGGTTTCCCTTTGCTGGCCTGGGTCCCAAACCCCACCTTCAGATCGAGGTCCCAGCCTGGCCTTGGCCTCTTGCTGTGCCCAAGGATTCAGCCAAAGCTAATCCCTGACCTATCCACTTCTTCATTCCACTAGTTACTCTGTTAAATACCGAGCTTTGGTGTCATGTTAGATTGTCTTTTATCTCGAACCTTCACTGAACAGAAGTCAAACTTCCACATTTTAGACATTATTAGAAGTCTTCTCCTCACTTGTTTTATTTTCCTTTGTAAAGGCAGACCCAGCTTGACTATTCAAAATTGTCACTTTATACTTGCTCTTTTTGACCTTTAAAGTAAAGCTTCCTTTAATGATCAGTCCTTTTCCCATTCCAGATAGACACCCTGTTTACTTATATCCTTTTTATGAGATGGCTGTTTATTCAGTTAGGCCTTTAAAAAGCTTTCTTGAAAGTTACTTTCTCTTTGGATGAGATGTGAATCCGAGATAACTTTTGTACGTCTGCCTTAGACAAATTCCAGTCTTGTTCCTCGATGAAGTTTTAGAGCTATTTTTTCCAGTTAACTTCATTAATTAATTTCCTTAATTGTCAAAGTTTGTACTTTGGAAACAAAAACCAAAACAGATCCTTAGCTCCTGGCCCATCCTGCTGAAGTCATTTAGAGAGGAATGAGCCCAGGATGGTAATACTTCCCCCTGTTTGTACAATGTATTTGCAGAGTGATTTATACTAGTCCAGTCAAAATGCAAGCACTTCTGTTGATATTGAGTTTAATTGGGCACAGTAATGACTAAAGGCTTTTAAAGGTCACTGCATCCAGATGTTCAGCTATTAGTCACCATCACCCAACAAACTTTCTACAGTAAATAAAGATAAAATAAAGAAACACAGCAACCTTTAACAAAATTAGTGTCTGAGCCTGGTAGGATTATATACTTCTGCTTTCTGGTCAGCTCTGTTCAGTTCCCTGAGAACACAAAATCTTATTGAAAATAAATTTTGCCCTATAAGAAGAAACCATCCTTGGCTTTATTCAGACAAATAGGCTTTACTTTCATGATTGCAGTTGGAAACTTGTGGTCTTTATAACAATTCTGACAATTTACCCTTTCAATAATCAGGGTGTACACACTACAGTGTGTGTAACACCTTATTTCGGAAAGTATAAGTAACTCATTACAGATTCTGCAGTGCAGTTTAGGTACTAACATTGAAAATAGATGTTTTTTAAGTTTCAAAAATTCATCCTAACGGAATCAAGGCACATATTCCTTTCCTTTGGCTTGTTAATAGCTAGTTTCTTCATCTTTCGAAAATTTTTACAGAAATTGAATAAATAATTACTAGAAAACAGTTTTTATAAACTGATTGACTCTGATAGTATTACATACTCATATTTCCATATGTTAATGTAAACTAATTTAGGTTTTTTTTACTATCTTCTTTTTTTCACTCTTTTCCTAAAGACATACATAGGTTATTTAGAAACTTGTATGCTGTCTATATTTTAGCTTCTCATGTTACTTACAGTTTAAATAAATTGCAAAGAAATTTTCATCACTTAGAAACTAGTGGAGGATTAAGTTTTCTTAGAACTCAAAAAAATTCCACT